ATCCTACTAGTTCAAGAGAGCTAATTATTTATATACACTTTAGTTAAGATATTATAAATCTTATTAATATGTGTTCAGATACATGTGATTTAAAGATATATGAGATCAAAATTAGGTGTCATTTATTTTAGATACACTACATTCAAGTGAATTCACTTTTATCTTGATACATAATAAATCTATCTCGTTACTCTCCTATGTATCTTGTATCCTATATACATTTAAACCACACCTGATACATACAAATAAATATATTTAGTGTGTATGTAGTCCATTTCGCATGTAATACATGACTATCTCATTCGCCTTCGGTCTCCCAATCTCGCTCATCTCTCCATATTTTAGTATAATGTCTAATAGAAAAAATTTATACACCTAAATGTATCTTCCTTAATATATGATAGATAATTCTTAAAATTGCAACTCTTTCGGCCGATCTAATTAGAAGATCATAATGGTGCAGTTCAATAATAATTTCGAAAATATTATACACTGCACACGTTGAATTTAATACTCTACTATCATCAAAGATTCCCTTGCATAGTTTTTGTTGAAGTCCAAACATTCCGATTTCCTGCCTCAGAAAATGAGCTAAATATATAAATTATAGTGTCCTGCTATAAGATAAGTTAATATAATTATATTATATGAGTAAAATTTTTGAAAGAAAAAAAAAGCTACGTAAAGACGAATTAAAGACCTTGATTTGGGACCCAAATTTGTGGAGTATAATTGGATGAAGACAAAGTATTAGTCAATTAATTGCGGAGAAAGTTAAAGATTAAGACAAACAAAGATGAGTTAGTTAAGGATTTAATACCAGTGATAACAAAACAAGTTGGGGTTCACGTGATAAAGTGTTCGTTTTAACAATTCTCTTTAATTAAATTAATTAATCATTCGACCTAGTTGGTTTTATTACTTTCTCTATTTATTTTTATTTGTCATTTATTTTTTTAAAAAATAATTTTTCATTATCACTTTTTTTATATCAAGAAAAGAAAAGACAATTATCTTTTTTCATATTTACCTTCCGCATTCAATACTTATTCTACGGATCAATCAATAATTAGTAAAAAATAAAAATTATTAGAATTTTTTCAATTTTTATATAATTTTAATTAATTATTAATTAATGGTAGTGTATATCTAAGGCGTTGTAATATCTTAAAACGATGCATCAATAATTCACATATTATATATTTTTTTTATTAATAAATATCTTGCAATTAAAATGCCTAATTATTTCAAAGGTGAAAAAAGTATTCAGAAAGTTTGAGATATTGAGTAAATAAATCATCCAAAAGTAGTTAAAATTTTTGTATTATCAACCTTTTTTTGCACAATCTCAAACAAATCAACTAGAAAAGCTTTTCCAACAACCAAACGCATAATTTGAATCAAAATGTCAAATAATGCACAAATTTAGTCAAGATTTTGGAGTAAATTAATTCCATTAGTGCTAGACCAAATGCAATTTATCAAGTACTTTACTTGTGGACATACTTTGTCGATTTATTATACTTGTCATATTTTTTATTTATATATCTATTAAAAATATATGAAAATTAATTTGGTCTAACGTATCCTTATTTATTTTGCTATCAATACTACTATTTCTTCACCACATTAATCTGTCTTCATATTTATTAAATAAAAACAAAGATGAAAACTAAATTATATGTTAACTTTTTAATATTCTACTTATTAAAGTTTATTATATTTAGTAAATACGATAGCCAAAATAAATCGGAAGAAGTAATTAATCATCTTTAAAAAGTGAAATATACTGCTAATATACCCTTAACTTTATGGTTTTTAGCAAATGGTTGTAATGATTATACTTGCAAAAATGGGGATAATGTGTTCTCCTTTGGTAGGTCCAATTCCTTTTAAGTAATTAAATATTTAAGTGGATATTAAAGGTTGGTATCATAATTACATTCTGAGATTGCTTAGTGATTAGCATTACAATAATTTTATCAAAGTTGACTGTGTGATCCATTTTTTTCACTAACCACAATCCTTTTACTGATTTTGTGTTAAAATTTTCTTGATTTTGGGTCCACACAGTTATGATTAATAATATAAAGTTTTGTACTTGTCAAAAAGTTTTAAGATTTTTCTTTCCTTCCCTTCGTCAGAAAGTGAGAAACAAAATATTAACGGTTAGAAAAACAATAATATATTCAGTGATAATTTCAGCAATAAGACCTGAGAAGATGATTGGATATATAAGCTAATATGATAAACACAGATAAAGAGGGTTCATTCCTTTAATTTTAATAAAAAATTACATTATGTAGACGTTAAATTTCCATGATCTTTTTGTGTTTTTAATTCTTCATATTTTGATTAAACATTATGACTTATACCACTAAAGTAAGCAACCTCAACCTCACCTTACGAAGATCGATATGTTATTTTCCATGAACCTTTTGGTTCAAATAAATCATATCAAAATAATGAAATAAGTATGAAAAATAAATAAAATAATAAAAAAATCATATTATAATAATGGAGCAAGAAAATATTAAGTAATATATATTGAAAACATATAAATATAGTTAATCTTCAAATAATCAACTTTGCTTTATTAGTTTTCTCGCAAATATTTTGTAGGGTCACAAACACAGACATATATCCAACTAACAACCTAGAAAAGGAATTTCTTGTCCTTAGAATTTATCGTTACCCTTTCACCCTCCCAATAGAAAGTGCTAAGATTTTCTTATTCGATATTTGATATTCATATTAAAATTTATATAATTTAATTTTAAGCATTACAAGACTTTTTCTTTTCTTTTGAAGATAAAGGCTTAAACTTAATTACTGTTTAAGGACGAACGAATCATAATTTATTGATATAAGCTAATGTTTCATTAGTACATTTTTATATCCAATTTCTAATTAAAATAAGATAATATTATTAGTACATATAAATAATGTGAATTAATATGTGGGTCGTACTGAAATAATTTGATGTTTGAGCACGCTATTAAAGCTATGGGTCCTTTCTTTTTCCACCTTTTTACATTTCTTTTGGTTTATTAATTTCATGACTTACGTGTTTCACCTCTTACTTTTTGTTTCTTTTACATTATGGTGGTTGATTAGTTACCGTGTAACCATAATAATTATTATTGTTTATTATATTATATATATATAAGAGAAATGATATCCAAAGTAACAAACATGTATTTTTGTCAAACACAACTATAAGTTGTTATGATCAAAGAGTAGAGTTTTCAAAAAGGGGTTGGTCCAACCCCATTCGGTCCAAGCATAGCGGGTCTAGTTGATGGGCTAGAGCAGGTTGACCTTTCATTTAGAATGACTTGAAAATGCTTGATTCAATCCAACCCTAGAATGGCCAAGATTGGGGTAGGGTAGTCTCTTTTTTTTTCTTTTCAAACTTAAAATTCTATAGCATCAAGAAATTGAGAAGATTTCCAAATCAAATGTGACAAACAATGGTATTGTTTCAAAAGCACTAACAAAATATCTAGTGTGATTAGCATGTATCTAGGAAACTAGATACGCAAGATCACAGATACACGAGCGAGATAAGACAGTAGCAAGCAAGAAGGGAAGGAGGCGAGTGCGCGAGATTTGTCTATGTATCCTAGATAAATGTAAATCCACTCGAATAGAATCTATCTAGAACAAATTAACTTAATTTTGAGTCCATATACTATAAGATACATGTATCGAACGTATCAAAATTTAAGATTCGTAATATTATAATGTAACATGCATTTTAAGTAATTAGCTCATATACTAGTGAGCTTGTTGTAAGTTACCCTTAAATAAATAATTTTGGCTCATGCACCGATCCTAACACAACCCCTATCAAGCCTCAAGAGTCACAAATTTTATATGAGTTAGGCTTATAAACTTTAATTTTAAGCGTTTGAGAAATTTTATTCCAACTCTACCTTAATATCGGGTTGAATTGGACCAGCCCTATGAGTTTTGGGGTTGGATTGGACCGGCCCCAGAGATCCAACATCACTTAAACACCGAGTTATTTGAAGTGCAATTGCAAATCTGGTGATTACAAATTGACAATACAGAAGCTCTGAAGATTGAATGTCATCCATCAAATATACTACATAAACAATAGGTTTTTAATATATTTAACTAATAAATATTATTATTTTTTACTTGATCAATCAAATATATAAGTTGCCCTACCTTTATTTTATCTTATTTCCTAATCCTAATAAATAAGAGTAGGCCAATATTGAACTCTAACTCCACCAAGAACTTCCCAACCGTTCCCTTATGGCCTACTCTTTTTTCTGCTTAAGCACCACGTACCCTTCACAAATTAATTTCGTATCAAACTCTTTTAATTTTGAGATTAATCACTTGTACAACTTTCAAAAAACCACATATATGTGTAAAATTAGGACAAAAGTTCAAATATGAATGTATAAGTTATATTATGGCGGTTCTAAACCATCACTTTAATTTATACAATAAAAATGATAGTATTAACTGATGAATACTACGATTTTTTGAAAGAAGGCTTATTACTAAACTCTCTATTAAATAGTACCAATTACGGTTCAAAATTCTTTTCTATTACATAAAATTACATTTTAATCATTTAAGTAATTTAGTATACAAAATATATAAATTATATAAAACCAAAGTGCATAGATTAAATATACTTGGTCTACATTTGATAAACTAGATGGCGAAGAGTACATTTATCCAAGTTTCTTGTTTTTGGGCAGGTTTTATGAATAGCCCAAACTTACAATAATAGTCTTTAATTTTTGTTCACCAAACATTTTAAGTGAGCTCAAAAATACCTCTAAAAGCAACCTTTTTTTTTAGTTTATGTAGCTCAAAAATACCTCTGATGGAAAACAAATCGCAATACACGTGTTATGTCTTAAGTTGAGTTTCTAACCTATATAATACGTCTCATTAGACACAAATAAGGCATTATGCCTCGGAAGAAATAAGTTGAGTTTGAATACAAGATGTAGAAGAAAACACAACAATTCATTGAAAAAAAACAATAAAATTATGTACAAGGAGTTAATTAATAATCAAGATACACAGTAATATGTAAGAGAGTCTGTACACCATCTGTCTCTTGATTTGCAGCTGGAAATGTCTTGACAGTAGCAAATCCCTTAGCATTTACGTACTTTCCAGTTCCTCCCATAATAGCAAGATGTGATTCTGAAACTCTAACTCTGTGAACCCCAAAAAAGCTCAGACTATCACTATAACTTCCACTGTGAAACATTACTGTAAATGCCATTGTTTGACTAGTTCCATCTTCTGAACTTGATACGTAAAATCCTTGAGATTTTCCAACTAAACCTGAGTTGAGTTCATGACCTTGTGTCAATTCGTCGTCGAATACAGTTAGTGTACCGAACATGAGTTTTTGGAATGTAATTCCTGATCCTAATTGAGCCATGTTTAAGGCAGGGTATCCGTTTCCTCCACCGATGATGTTGTTTTGGACTACGTTGGGAGTTGTCCCGCTTAGGCCTGTGAGAAAAGGGATGTTGTTGTTGCTTATGATTCCGCTGTTTCCGCTGGTAACCGGAACACCATTCTCTACTGCTAGAACTGCACCGTTTGGCTTAGCGAATGGGACTTGTCCGCTTAGTGATGGTTACCGCTATTGCTGATGGGTTTGAACCTCCAAGAATGTCGTGCATGAAGAATGAAAAGATATGATCATCTGTAGCAGGATGGTCAGCATGTGTTGCAGGTCCAGCACCTGCAACAGCAGATACTCCTGAAGTTGGGGTACTCTCGTCAGTAGCAACGATGGGCTCCTCATCGAGGATTCTACGTGCTGAGGTTTTGGAGGTGATTGTGAGAGCTAGAATGACAAGGAATGTGAATATGGATTTGAGTTGAAAAACGTTGGAATTGGAGGCTGTCATTTCTGATTCTTTTGAGTTGGATGCAAACCTATGAGTGGGTTGTGATCTATTTATACATGATTAGGATGAAGGGAGTTGATGAATGATGATTCTATGGATTAGGTATTATAACCATTCCATACTTTCAAGTCCATTGGTTGAAGTTTACAAAACAAATTATTTTCGTCTTACAAATGGGGAGGATTAGGTGTACCAGAGTTTGTTTTTTTGGGCTTTAAGTATGAAAAACCGTTATAAATTACACACTTGAGTAAACACCGACCATAGGTACAAATTGTTATGATTAGACTGGGGTGATTTACAAAAATGACCTCTAAGCATTCAAATTAGTACAACAAACTCTTGTCCATTTCTAAAAAAGGCCCAATACTAACTAATACAGAGAAGTGGATTATAGCATAAGAAAAAAGGGATGGCGTGGAGAGCAAATGAGTCTTTGATTTATTATTGTATATATATGATGATTGGTATTAGGCATTTTTCATGTTTCATTATGAGGAAAATTTTATGCATTTTTACATCTCAGCATGACTTGTATTAATGTGGATAAGTACTTGGCTAACCTATGATCTAATTAGGACATTGATGAGAGTTTATACGAAAAGATATATAAGTTTCCTCCTAAACGATTATACACATGCAAACTTTACAAACCACCTATTACTTCTTGTTTGAAGTGGAATTAGTATCCCTCGAAATGTCACAACCAGAATTTCACGCATTCTCTCCTCAACAAGTCCCAAGCAAAATCACAGCCTATTCTCTTTAGGAGAAGAAGATGAAGCAAATTTTTCTCAGGCTAGCTAAGTCAAATTTGTGGACAGTCACCATTTCGAAGAATTTTTTCTTGGAAAAAGCAGCACATTCATAGCTTAAGTTTGGAAAACATTTCAGTTTGGTTTCGTAATGTTGGTGTTTGGTGGTCTTTGTTCAAGAATGTTGACATGGAAGAAATGTTTGTTCCTTTATCTAAAAGAGGAGTAGTGATATTTAACTATCCATTTCTCTGTTTTAGTATATTTTTTAGAGCAGCTGGGAATTGAAATACAAAATCGAATGCAATTAACTACTAGCTTTACGTGACTGAATTTTTTTAACGTCTGTTTCGGTCATGTATATAAATGATGGGAGTTTATACTTTGGCTTTCATTGTTGAAATTTGAACAAGGCACACGTCATTCAGATTTAAGATAATTTTTCACACATATATAGTTTAATCATGTACGACTAAATTTAGAATTTTCAACCTATATTGCGGTACGCCTAAATTTGATTAAAAAAACTGGTATATATAGTAGTAGAAATTAGCTTATTTCTTTAATTATCATCCCTAAAGACTAATTGTACATTACTAACAATTTCAAAAGTCATTATTTTCGTTCTTTGTAATATTCTCACTCTTCTTTCCCTCTCCATTTCTTATATGAATTAAATATATGATGTATGTGAATATTTATTTGAAATGTGAAGTTTTTTTTCCATATATATATATATAAGACAGTATATATATCCATCTAAAAATTTATTGAGATTTAAGTATCGAGACTTGAGACTTAGATTAATTTCCTTTTATTACTAAGTCTATTGTAAATGATACATCAAACAAGATACATACAAACCAAGGAAAATAAGTAATTAAAGACTTACACCTTAGAGAATAGCATTTGAATAACATGAACTCCATGATGTGCATTTATATTTGGAAAACTACAACAAAAGGAGAAAAGAAAATTCCTTTTACCAAAAAACACAAATATATCTCTAAATCAAAATAAATAGTCTTGAATCTTATTTAAGCATGGTGCTTAAATTTGCCAAAGGATATGTAGTTGCCCAAAAGAAATTGTCACTTCATGATAATAATAATATGTGATCATCAACATCTTCATCATCATTGTGATCCTCCATTTTTGAAAGAAAGTAGACAAATTAAGGGGAAAGAAGAAGAAGAAGAAGAGAGAGAGAAGGATTGGTATGGAGGGTGTAATTTAACTATAGAAAAAGGTTGGTGGATGGAGGATCTTCTAAGCATATGCTTCTACCATTAACTTGTCTTTCCACATCTTTTTCTTTCTTCAATTATTTTTGGTTCAGTGTCTCCGGAATTCAATTAATTTGAATTTGTGTCACGTAGGATCTATTAAAAGGACAACACTCTCTAAGAGAATTGTTTTTATAGTTAAAGCTCAAACTTGACATTTCTAATAAAAAATAAAAAAAATCTTATCAATCTGATCCGACCACGAAATCTTTATTGGTGTTTTTAAAAAAAATTATGATGTAACAGAAGTTGTCATCCAATCAAAGTTTTTTGTTGTAAAAGTTGTCATGACAAACTTCTATTCTAAATATTCCAATTCCCTGGTTTCATTTTATATATTCATATATAATGCCCCTTCTTTCTATGCTTTTTTGATTGGGGTCATCTATTTGTCCAACCACTATTCCTGCTTAGCTATGCATTACTGTTCTTAATATGCTTTGTTTGTACTAAGCTGATTAGTTCCTTTTTCTTTTATTTATTTTACTATATATATAAACAATTCAGACAAGTGTGTAAGGAACCTCAATTTGTACATATATATACTTCATGATTCTTTAAATAGTTGTATAGTTTGTTACGCAAAACGTAAGATTTTTATAAATAATTATACTATTAGTTATCATTTTACAAATACCATAAGAACTACATGACAATTATTATAGATTTTTTTTTTGTAATAATAATATTAGAAATAACTTGCTCATAATTGGCAAGTTTCAAACATGTATCCTCTTATAGTTTATAGCTTATTACTTTTATAGCCGTTGAGCAACTGTTACTTTAAAATTTTAAATTTGTGATAGTGTAATATCATAAACTAATTGACCATGAACACACGATTTAAAATTAAAGGAGAAAGAAGAAGAAAATATGCCTAAAGTATTATAGTGAAGTAGAAAATACTCATTTTAAGCTTTACTACTAAAATTATATTGAATATATCATTGTTATTTTATCGCACCGATGTTGTCAATAATAGCATAGACTTATTGATGTATGAACCCCCACATGGAATTTGCTGGCAACTAGCTTTACATGTTTTTTGCTTGGGCAGAAAACGTCAAAAACAACAAGTGTGTTTTGTCGAAATCTGTCGTTTTATAATTGGAAACATCAATTTGCCCATTCTAGTAGTTGAATCATACAAATGGTTGAATATATACATTACTTTAATACTACTAGTCATATTTTTTGAGGAAATAATTTTAAAACTTGTTTTCGTTAAAATTAAGAATAGTCGATAAATATATAATATATATTTCAATAGCTAATTAAGTTAAGTAAAAACAATTGTATTCATTCGGAACAGTTTTTATGATTGATTTATATATTTAGTTTAAAATGTCTCGATTAATTCAAATTTACATTATATAATTTTTTTTTCCCACAATATTATTATATGTTCTTGATTTTTTTGTATATTTACTTCTTAAAATTTTAAATTTCTTAGTGAAAATTTTAAATCCATCACTAATATATGCATAAATTATATATAACAACGAATAGATTGATAATATATATTAGAATAAATAATCAATCTAATCGCTATTAGTATAAAAATCTTTGTTTAAGCATACGTCATAAGTAAATATTTTTTCAACTATGCTTGGGTGTAAATAAATACATTGGGAGCAATAGATAATTACATTAACAAGATCCACCCAATTTAATTTGTATTAGTGATCCATCAATTACCAAACTTAATTAATTTCTTAATTAAGTGTCAAGACAAAAACTTTGACTATTCACACAAAACTCGAAAATACAAAGTCAACTACTTTAGCTTATTTTATTTATTGCAAATTAATTTGCAACCATCATAATTAATTTTATAGTAATATGTACGTAACTTATATGGTCTTTAATATTGCTGCCTAGCTTCTTCTTTTTTTTATTGGTGTATAATTTTTATAAAAATATACAAATATTGAGAATCTTTTGGTGAGATGAGATTGATAGAGCATTTCCCCATCTGTATTTTCTGTAAGCTGAACATTCATAATTTCTGTTTATTTAGAAAATGATATAGTTGAATTTGTAGTAAGGTTAAAAATGAGTAACTTGTTATTATTAGCAATTAAATATATTTGTGAGCTTATTAAAGAACAAAATAAAGATACATAAGTAAATAAATAAAGTTATATGGAACAATAAATTTCTCATTGTTAGCATTTACATGATATATTAAAATGATGTTGATCTCAGATTTGAATTTAGTCTAATAGTAAATCTATAAAGTAAAGACTTAATGAAATATAGAAGGTTTGAGACTCAAAAATAATAGTGATATATTGCTTTTGTATTGTTTAGAAAATAATCCACTTATACTTGTGTTAAAAAACTATTTATAGATAATAAACCAATAAGAAAGTTTCACTCAAAACATAAAGGAGTACTATGAACAATGGTTGTAGTCCACGTAAAAATGTCATTAATAATGTCAACATTACGAATAAGATGTTAATTTTATGATTACAATTATATCAAATGTATCAGTTTTTTTGTCAAATTATCATAACACAAGTTCTTTTCATCTTTGGGTCACAATTTTTTTGTCTTTTCTCTATAGTGATTATTATGTAATTTCAAAGACTTAATCGAGATTGATTTGCATCAAACACATCTTCGAGTTTAAGTTATTTCGCTGATCCAATTTCCTTGAGCATCCTTTGTTGGTGCCACATGTCGACCTCTTGTATTGTCATGCCTACAAACTATTTTAGTTCTGAGGTATTTTTAAATATTTATGTATTTAAAAAAAAATTAATAATTGAAGTAAGAATATTCGAATTTAAAACAAGAGTAGTTTAAAAGGCAAATCATGTGGAACCGACTATTTCTTGTTGATTAAAAGCCAAAACAAACACTTGTATCGAATATCTTGCTACATTTTTTTCACTTTCCACCTCTAATACACATCCTTTTTTTTGTTTGTTTAACTTTCCCAATATCCAATCAAAATGTGCCATGTTGAACTCCTTTGAAGTTCGTTTCAATTTTTTTTCTTTGTCCTATTTCTGTTTTTACTCGTTTCAAAAGTTAAGACAAGTATTAACAATTCTAAAAGTATTTATCTAGTTGACTAACTTAAAATTTAATTATATTTTTAACTAATCACATGATATATTAAATAGTCTCAAACTCTTGTAGTAGTATAAAAAAAATCAAAAAAATTGTTAGAAATACTTCTAAACTAGACGAGAATTTAGGTGTATTTTACCCATGCGATAAGATCAACAGCGTATCCAAATTCAATTAACCAAGTAGAAAAATATGTTTATGATTATCAATAATTTAAAAATAAAACAAATAATTTATGTTAGAAAAAACATTTAGTATGTCAGACATAAAAGTCAAAAGCTTTCTTTATTTTTTTAAATTTCGTTTAAAAAAGACAAATTAATTGAATTAATGGAGTAGTGGTAATAAAACAAGCGCGTGATCACTCGCCCCCCAAACAATTTTCTAGGCGCACGCAGCACAAAGTGCGCATATTAGCCACCCTCATCGCATCCTGAACCTATTTGGTATTCCCTTTCTCTCTCTGAAGAAAATCATTGATTAGATTCGTTGTGTAGATTTTGGTTATCTGCAGTTTTTGTTTTTCATTTTAAATTTGTGAATCGAGAGTGTATACGAATTTATTCAAGGAAAACACTTTTAGGAGCTTTTGTTGATCCTTCAATGGCCGCACCACCGGCGAGGGCTAGAGCAGACTATGATTATCTCATTAAGCTTCTTTTGATCGGCGATAGTGGTCAGTATTTTCACACATTTTTCATTTATAATCCTTTTTAACAGATCACAGATTTGTATTTTTTTTGTGGATCTATGGCTGCATTTCTCTGATCGGTGATTTGACTTGTGTTGTGATCTAGCGTCTGCTTAGAAAATGCATTTTGGTTTCGACGTGTCTATGTTTTTTTCTAGATTTGGTTTATTTTTCTGCAAATGATCTTCCAGTAATGACTCCTGAGAGTCTGAGTTGAACTTGTTGTAGCAGGATTGCCTAGTATGTTAGCATCTCCTGTGATTTGTGAGCTATTGCATATGAGCGGGTTTAGGAATTTCTGTAAAAAAAGATCTTTTGGTAATGAGTTTGGGTGTTAATTACTAGTAGGTTTGTTATATTTGTACCTGTGACGTGACTTG